TTTTTTTTTTTTTTTTGCGGTACGCGGGCCTCTCACTGTTGTGGTCTCTCCCGCTGTAGAGCACAGGCTCTGGACGCGCAGGCTCAGCGGCCATGGCTCACGGGCCCAGCCACTCCGCGGCATGTGGGATCCTCCCGGACTGGGGCACGAACCCGTGTCCCCTGCATCGGCAGGCAGACTCTCAACCACTGCACCACCAGGGAAGCCCCTAAGTGGTACTTTTAACCAGCTGATGTACGTACGACCTTACCTAATTCTTGTCAGTTACCCAAACTAGAACTTAAGCTCCATGAAAGGCTTAATTCCTGTCTGTTTCGTTCTCCAAAATGCCTGCTTCCTACACAGTACCTAGCACTTAGTGTTCAGCAATTATTTACTAAATACACATATGAAAGAACGAAATAAAGAGCACTGTGAGTAACGGGGAAAGACCTCTGAGACCACAGCTGGACGTCTGTCCTTAATTCTGAGGGGATGTTCAAGGGTAGGGTAGAGAAAAGGTTGTGGGAGGGAGGAGGAAGAATGCTGCTGCTCACCTTCTGCATGCTGAGTGTGATCTGGCCCCCATGAAAGCCTGAGGAGCTCCCAGATACATAGTAGCCAGAATTGAGCTGTGGAGAGAAGACAGAGGAACAGATGGGTGTGGAGGAGAGAAGCGAGGGCCCCAGGTACCCTGCTCTGGCTCCATCTGACCCAATGTCTGACCCTACCTGCTCCAAGGCCTCCGCTAGGTGCTTATTGAGCTTTTGCTCACGCTTCCGCAACTTCTCAATGTCCCACTGCAGGTCTTCTACTGTTGTCTCCATCTCCAGCACTTTGGTCTCTGCAGATGTCACTTTATCCTGGAGCTCAGAGTACTGGGGACAAGGAAGGGGACAGGTACTTAGATAAGAGACCCGGCTCCCTGAGATCCTTGGGTGCCCATCTAATCCAAACCCTGTCCTGGTTCTAATCCCACCCTAAAAGCCCAACTCCCACCTCCAACGAGATGCGGTGGTGCTTCTCCTGTAGCTGGGTGGCCAAGTCCTGCAGCCGCCGGTTCTCACGGCCCAGCTCCCGGGTGCGTGCCCGAGCCGCCTCACTGGGGGGCTCACTGTCCCCTGTGAAGGGAGGGCTTGGGTAAGAGCCAAGTCCAAGGCAATGGGTCAAAGTACAAACTCATCCTGGAGTCTGCTATGTTATTGCCCAGTGTGATCCACCAGCTGTCTTGCCATTTTCTCATGACAAAGCCAGGAGTCTTTGTCCCCACTGCACAAAGGAGGAAACCGGCTCAGAGAGGAGAGCCATCTGCTCAGAACGCCCAGGCTGGACTGACAGAACTAAGGCTGAGAGAAGTCAGTCTGCCTGCAAAGCCTGGGCACTTGCTGCTATGCCTCATGGATCAGCAACTGCCACCAAGATTTGTGCACAATGCTCCCGAGAGGTCTCCAGCCACAAGGGGGAGGCTCCCCCAGCATCAGCAACTCCTCCCACCCATCTCTCTAGAGCTCAACTCCAGGAATCAAAGCGAGAGCCACCATCAACAGCCTAACCCTGCACCTGAAAACATGGCTGATTTATTCCTTGGGGAACTGTGGCTGCCTCTGGGCCAGGAGCACTGAGGAGGGGATACCATAAAGATGCAAATGGAGTTGGACACCTCTGGGGTAAGGGCACAAAGAACTAACCTTGGCTGTATACTCGCTGACAGAGTTCCTCCACCTGGCGCTGTAGGCGGTCAGAGGCCTCCACGACACGGGACACAGCTGCCTTGGAGAATTCCATGCGGCCCTGCAGCTGCAGCTCCACCTCCTCACTACTGCTTGCACCCAGGGCCACCACAAAAGCCAAGGCTGGCTCACTGAGAGGTGGCCGCAGCTGCATTGGCAGGGGCTCTGGGAGGGAAGGACAGACCCTCATGAGGATAATGGTAACAGTTACCACCACTCTTTACCAAGTTCCGGATCGCCTTCTTCAACTCTCTATGGCTCACTGAGTCAACATAACCAACACCTGTAGTACTGTTATCCCCATCTTAAAAGTGAAATAACTGCAGTTCAGTGAGGTAATTTCCTCAAAGCCAGAGAGCTACCAAATCACTTCCTCAGGGAAGGCCTTCTCTGCCTTCCCAAGCTAAACTAGTGTGCATACACACTAATTCCCATTCAGGGATCCCTATACTTTTTTCTTATGGTTTATAATCACTTTCTCCCTAATGGTTGGGGCAGTAAGTATTTCTTTTTTATTTCCTTCGTCTTCTCCAAAGCTACAACAATGTTAACTACACAGTCAACATTTAATACTTTTTTGAACTAAGAGTGTCAAAACATGAATTGCACTCTTAACCATGTCACTCAGATTCCAAAACCTGTGTTCTTACCCACTGCCCTTTGTTGCCTAGATATGAAATCAATTTGTGTGTGTGTGTGTGTGTGTGTGTGCGCGCGCGCGCAAGCAGGGAATTCAGCAGCCTAATGTCAAAGTTCCCTCCTCTCCAGGACCTTCCCCAGAACTTAATTAAGCTTCCCAGATCCCAGGGCTCTGGCCCTACCCCTCAGCTCCGATGTCCCTGGCTCTGTGAGAGGGGTCTCATCACGTGTTGGCCCCTCCTGGGTCCCAGGCGCCTCTGTCCCTGAAGACAGCTCCCCCTGGCTCTCATGGTGTCGGAGAAGGGCTTCCACAGTTTCATCCAGCTGAAGGAAGAAAGCACCAAAAATGTTATGAATCCCTCAGGTGCTTCCCAGCATGATACTCCTTTCCTAGCAGAGGAGTCTGAGGATTGGCAGCTAGATCAAGGCCAGGTCTTGGAAAGTAGAAGGGCATCCACCTGGGCCCAGTAGCGATTGACAATGAGGAGTGTGGCGTCATCTGTGGCCTGCCGCTTCTCCAACTTCTCAATTCGTTCTCGGAGTTCATCTTCACAAGCCTGTCTCTGTTCCAACCGCTCTGCCAGTTTCTTATTCTTGAACTGCAAAACCTTCAAGTCCATCTCCTCCTACCAAGGAAACAAAGGGGCCAAGAAGATGGTCAAGCAGGGACCAAGAACCCAATCATAGAAAGAGACAAATGGAATGGATGGGAGAGGGGAGTATCCCCAGACTAACTGCTAACAGGATTTAAAGAGGCTCAGACACCCACAGAGAAAGCGTCTCGGTTGTGAGGAGGGTCACGTTCTGCTTCTGCCTCTTCCTAACTCTGAAGTCTTTGACAAGTCACACGCCCTCTGGAAACCTGTTTTCCTATCTGTAAAGGGAAGGCACACGTCGTGTCCTCGGTTTCTTTCAACAGAGTGCTCTGAAAAGTGGATCTTGCTAAACCTGGGGAACTGGGAGTAAGGTTCTGGACGACGTGGACGGAGAACAGAGATGGGAGCTCTGGTAAGTTGTGAGGCGTGAAACAGGAGCCCACGAACCGTAGAAGAGATGCCCCCAAGACGAATGGGCTCTATAAGCGTGGTTGTGGTCTTCTCCTCGCGACTCAGCTTCTTCTCTGGGGGCCCCGAGCCCCCATCGCCGGCGGCGCGTTTGTTGCCGGGCCCAGACATGGCCGCGGCGGGGAGGAGCGGCGCAGGCTCTCCCGAGGCACGTCAGGCAGGCGGAGGCGACGCTTCCGTCACCTGCAGAAGACAGAGAGCAGAGATGTGGAAGCGGCCGGAGCTCCGCGGCCCCGAGCCTCCTCCGCACCCACCTGCCGGCCCCCGCCCCGCCGGCCCCGGGCCCCTCACCGGCAGCAGAATCACCCCATCACCGCCATCTTGGACTCCCCTGGACGTCACTGGCCTCCCCAGCAGAGACCGCAGGCGCCACAGGCAGTACCGGATGTGGCGAAATCTTCTCCACTTCCTGTTTCTATTGGTCGCGCTTTGTGCCGCCTTCCGGGTCCCGTTTGGTTTCTTCCCGAACCCCGCCTCTTTCTCTCAGTGATTGGCCAGTAGACAGTTCCTATGGTAACCGACAACACACTTCCACTCTCCAGTCCTAATGACATCGCCTGCCTCAGAATAGCAACTTTGAAGCGAGGACACGGGGGCGGGCCTTGCGGCTTATTACGCACGCGCATTCTCTTCTCACTGATTGGCGAGCGCCGTACACTTTCTCTCTTGCTCCAAGAAACCCTTAGCAACGGTCACCGTTGAGACGGAGGAAGACGCCCCCAGCGGATTGGCTGCACCGGTCCTCTCTGCAGCGTAGATTGGCTGAAGCGTCGATAGAGGGCCAGGCCTTGGCAGCCTCTGCCGAAGAACCGGCTGTCCCAGAACCGAGGCAGGACAGAACCTGTGGTGCCCCGCGGCACAGAGGAGCGACAAGATGATCCGCCGGAAGTCCAGCCAATTCCAGGGACTGAAAATGCAATCGGAGCTTGAACAGCACTACGAACTGCGGAGAGAACCCAAGAAAGACCTCAGGTCATTGGATGAATCGGCCACGCGGATGGGAACAGGTGTGCATACCGAGTCGGGGACCGTGGCTTCGGTGAATGCGGATGAAGATCCTGCAGCCGACTTGTTCCCGGTGAGGACTGGACAGAGTCGTCCGCTCATGAATGTTTATAAAAGGGCTCCCCAGCAGGGCGCCACCCGTCGTTATGCTTTCTAACGTTCAAGACGTTTCCCGGGCTGCCTTGGTGAAGAGACCGGGGTGTGTGACCGCCCCCTTGTTAATATGCTCATGAGTAGTACTCAGGGGTCGCTGAAGCCCAGCCCGCCAGCATTGCTCGTAGCTAGTCTTTAAGATGAGAAGGCAAGTTAGCGCGTTCTTAGGCCCGCTAGAGATTCGCAACGGCTCAAGAACTAGGGGCCATGAACAACACAGCTCTGCCTTTCCCAATCCGCTTTCTCTCTGCAGCCGCCACTGCCCCAGCCCCGGATCTGCATATGGTGAGTGTGAAGAGGGGGAAAGTTACCCTTCACACTTGTATTATTCCTTTAGGGCTTCCCCACAATCCTGTCAAACAGCAACGGTATCCTCATTTTACAGATGAGGAGACTAAGGCCCAGAGATGCAATTACCCGAGATGACTAAGTCAGGTCTCCTGCTGCCCCAGTCCAAAGAGAGTGTGAGAAGAGGGGAGCCAAAGACTGAGAATGTAAATGTAGTATCAGTGCCTCTATGGAGCATTGTACAAATGGGGACACTGAGGTTCACAGAGGGAGATTTGCCCAGTTATACAGTAAGGGAGTGGCAGAGACCAGAACTCAAGTTTCCTAACCCTACGCTTTAGAAATGAAGAGGATCATAAGAGTTCATTCTGGCCATACCCTCTATTTACAGATGGAGAATGTGAGGCCCAGAGAGGGAAGTGACCTGCCTAAGGTTACACAGCAATTCAGTGGAAGGGCCAAACCTCTAACTCAGGTCTCTTGGTTCCCAGTCCAATGCTCTAGCCATCATAGCCCTGTTATGAGACTACTGCGTAATGGCCACCAACACCTTTTCCCCTCTTTTCTTATGACAGGAAGTACCTGGACATCCATTCCATGCACAGGCTGGAGAAGACAGCCAACGTTGAGGAGATGAGGGAGTATGCGGGGGGAGCAGGGAGGGGAATAAGAGCTAGCTCTTGGGGAAGGCTGGGAGGTGGATGGGCTGGGAAGGCACGAGGAATGCCTGGCTCCAAAGCCTGTTGTACACTAGTGTGGGGCGGTGAAGAGAGGCTCCGGTTGTCACTCATTCCTTCCTCTCTCCCTCCCAAGGGTGCTGGCCGAGCTGTTGGGACTAGGCTCTCCTGCGCAGAGCCTGCGGGACGCCATCACCCTGGACCTCTTCTCCCATGCACTCATCTTCTGCCGCCAACAAGGCTTCTCCCTGGAGCAGACATCAACGGCTTGTGCCCTGCTCCAAGATCTTCACAAGGCCTGTATTGGTAAGAGGAGGCCCCCGAAGGCTGTGAGTCCAGGGGAGAGGAGAAGGCTGGCACAAGTGACCAGGGGAAGTAAAAGCAGGATTAGCACCTGAAATCTTTGTTCTGTCATCACTAGCAGCAGTATCACACCCAAGTTATTTCATCTTTGAAATCCTCTATTTCCTTATCTATAATAAGGCTACAGCAATAAGGTTATGAAACTGTTCTGATATTATATATAATAGACGTAGATATATGCACAGTGCTCAATAAAACAGCTCCTGCTTTACTCCTGTAACTAATTTTCTACAGAATGTTTAACGAGAGCTAAACTATGTATTTCTTGGTTTATTGTCCGTCACTTCCACTAGAATATACGCTTCTTAAGGGCAGAAACTTGTCTGGTTCAGTGCCCAGAACAGTGCATAGTGGGTGCTCAATATTTGTTGCCTGTATCTTTCTACTTCTAAAGCTCATGCTCAATAAGTAGCTGTTGGGTGACTAAAATGAATGATTATCAGGGAGGGTACTCACTGTCACATCTTGCCATCCCTCCCAGCAACCCCCTTGGGCAACGTGGAGGAATGTTACCGCTACTTCACCAGTGTTCTTTTTTGCCACGGAATCAGGGTCAGTTTCACTCTCCCCCCAGATAAGGTCTAGCCCAGCCTCCCACCCTCTCATACACACATGACCCTCATCTTCCTCTGAAGGCCACAGTGGGCTCTTCCTGCTCCTGGATTGCCGGGCACTTGGAGAAAAGGTGAGGGCTTCAGGAGGTGGTCAGTCCTCTAACTCCCAATCATCCCCACAGCGGCCCCCCTTCAGTATCAACCTCTTTAAGGAGGAACAGCTGCTGGCCCTGGCAGATTATGTGGTCAACACCTACTTCCGCCACTTCAAGCTCTACAAATATGTCTTCACACCCCAGGTACTGGGGCATGGGCTACAAGAGGCCACCCCTCATCTCCCCCCTTTCCCTCAGTGCAGACGTCTTCCTCCCTTTTCCCAGGTGCGGCTGGATCTATCTTTGACTTACATGGGGCTACAGGCACCCAAGCTCTGGCCAAAGGATGAGACGGGTAAGGGAGAATGCCGGGGCGAGGGCTGGACTGGGCTGGGGCTGAAGCCTCCTGCCTTCTGGCTTGCAGAGAAAGAAGAGGGCGAAGAGGTGGAGGAGCAGGCAGTCACCCCAGATGAGGAGGAACCGGAAACAGTGGTCCAGCCAGAGCCAGAGCCAAGTGAGGACCTGGAGGGGTTAGGGTTCCCTGTGACTTTGGGCAGGTGTGAAATGAAGGGTTTAGACCATATCAGGACTTCAGAATTTTTGTTTTAGTCATGGTGTTCTTTCTCCAAATGATTCCTTATGCAGAAGTTCAAGATGGCAAACAGATAAAAGCACAGCTGCTGGGGGTGAGGCAGGAGTCCCAGAAAAGGATTATAAAACCAATGACAATAGGGCTTCCCTGGCGGCGCAGTGGTTAAGAATCCACCTGCCAATGCAAGGGACACGGGTTCAAGCCCTGGTCCGGGAAGATCCCACATGCCGTGGAGCAACTAAGCCTGTGAGCCACAACTACTGAAGCCCGCATGCCTAAAGCCTGTGCTCCACAACAAGAGAAGCCACCACAATGAGAAATCCGCATGCCACAAGGAAGAGTACCCCCGCTCGCCACAACTAAAGAAAGCCCACGCATGGCAACGGAGACCCAACACAGCCAAAAATAAATAAATAAAAATTAGAAAAAAAAAAACCCAACCCAATGACAATAACAGCCAGCACACATTTGACAACACTATGTGCCAGGCAGGCCCCATTTTAAGCATATATATATATATATATATATATACCTTTTTTTTTTTTTTTCTGCCTGTGCCGTGTGGCTTGCAGGATCTTAGCTCCCTGACCAGGAATCAAACCCATGCCCCCTGCAGTGGAATTGTGGAGTTGTAACCACTGGACTGCCAGGGAATTCCCACATTTTACATCTATTAACCCATTTAATCCTCTTTCAATCCTAGTTGCTAGGTGCTATCACTATCTGCATTTTACACAGAGGAAACTGAGGCATGGAAAGGTTAAGTCACCTGCCTAAGGTCACAAGGCTACTAAGTAGCAAGCCAGAAAATGCAGCAGCATAGCCACTCTGCCCATCTTTCTCTCACAGAAGGGCTGGCTGACATTTTCTGAATTGAAGCAACACTGCCACTAGTGTAGCTCCCAGGGGCACCCTGGAAGGTTGTGTTTGCCTGGCTAGGGGCAATCCCTCAGCCCCAGACAGCATCTCTTCTGACCCGTCCCTTCTTCCCTGCCCCTGCAGGCCAGGTCTCCATCCTCCGGGCCTACATCAAGACCCAGATGAACAAGGAACTGGAGCAGCTCCAACAACTGGTAGAGGAACGGCTCAAGGCCAGTGAGGAAAGGCTCAGCAGCAAGCTGACCACACTCGAGCAGTCCCTCCAGCTACCTCCAGGCAAAGGCAAGAACAAAACCTAGTGACCCCCACTGTCTTCCCCAATAAAGGCCTGGACCAAAGTGGCCCTACCCCGCCCTCCTCCTGAGCACCTTCTGGGCTTCCCTGCACCAGACACAGGACGCTGGCTCTCCCTGGCGTGTAGCAGATTTTATTGCATATGTGGCACAGGCAGCATGGATAAGGCCAGGCATGGCACTCTGGGTGGCTCTCTTCCACCTCAGCTCTGATCTCAAAGCCCTGGCCAGTGTGGATAGGTGTACAGGGCTGGTCTCTATGATACTTTGATCAGTGGCGGTCCTGGCCAGGCATGGGGGCCTGAGGCCATAGCCCAGAGGGGCTGGAATGATAAAAATCCTCCTCCTGGAGAGTTCTGCTTCCTGGGATTCCTCAGGGCTGAAGTACTAGCCCAGCACCAGCATGGCCTCATCTTCAGTGATAGTAGCTGAGTTCCCCTCCTGTTCAGGGCCCATCATGGAAAAAGGCCCTGGGGGCCGGTGCTGGAAGAGGGCTGCCCGGTTCTGCTGCTCACCCTTCTTCACCCAGTGTCCATAGAGCCGGAAGGCACAGCTGTCAATGAGGCGCCGCACTGGCCGCAGTGCATAAGGGTCCCTCAACAGTGCACTCTTGGTCAGCGGCCGTACACGGTGGGTGCTTAAGGCCACCCGTCCAGCAGCCAGCACTGTCCACACTGCCACCTGGGAAAGGGCGCAGTGTGAGCTCCACGGGCACATCCACCAAAAGAAAAATCATGGGACAGAGGAGCAGGCCCACACCCTGACACTCTCAGGCTTACCCGGAACCGCTGGCGGGGGCTGAGGTTCCAGCGTTGGCTGCCTTCACAGCGCTCAAAGAATGGGTGCTGTAGGGCTTGCTCAGCTGTCAGGCGCTCCTCAGGATCCACCTGCAGCAGCCTCGAGATCTACGGGAAATGCCAGAGCATGAAGGGCAGCTCTTGGGCCTCCCTCCTTGCCCTCTCATGGCCCCAGCTCACCAGGTCTTTCACAGTGTCAGAACGGTCATCCCACTCAGGTGAACTAAACTGGTACTGGCCCTCCATAATCATGCGTAACATCAGGATCTGGCGTCGGTGCCAGAATGGTGGTGAGCCAGCCAGGAGTGTGAACAAGATTACCCCACAGGCCCAGCTGAGAAAGAGACCACAGTCAGGGAGGACTAGGTGAGCGAATGTGTTGAAGGACACTACACAAAGGAGGAGGGAAGGGGGAGACCAGAAACTCACAGATCGACCTCCTTGCCGTAGCCTGGGTGGGTTTCATCCATGGAGCACTTAAGGATCTCTGGTGCTAGATACCCTGGAGTCCCACACAACTCTGGGGAGAGAGGCCTGAGATTGATGGGATGTCACAGCCCCCTCAAGGACCCTTAACACCAGACCTCTGCTGGAGCCTCAACACCACCAGAGCCCCAAGTGTTCCCATTCTGCTCCTGCCTGCCTTCTGCCAAGTCTCAGTATTAGACCCTAGCCCTG